GGTCAGTGTGTGTCATAGTGACCAGTCATTCCCAGTCATTCTGCTGTTAGGGTCAATTTGCATATTACCCTTTTATTATATAGGAGTGCCTGGTCAGCCTGGGTGAGGGGCTGATGGCTGTTTGCAGGCTGGCCACAGCCCCCCCATCAGTGGGGTCCCCACTGGGGTGCCTGCCATCCTGGGTGAGGGGCTGAGGGCCATTTGCAGGCTGGCCACAGCCCCATCAGGGTGGTGGGGGGTGCTGGAGGGTCTGGCCAGTCTGGGTGAGGGGCTGAGGGCCGTTTTCAGGCTGGCTAAGCCCCCCAGCGGGGACCCTCACCCCATGAGGGTGTGGCCATCCTGGGTGAGTGGCTGATGGCTGTTTGCAGGCTGGCCACAGCCCCATCAGTGTGGGGGTCCCCACTGGGGTGCCTGCCATCCTGGGTGAGGGGCTGAGGGCCATTTGCAGGCTGGCCACAGCCCCATCAGGGTGGGGGGTCCTGCTGGGGTGCCTGGCCAGTCTGGGTGAGGGGCTGAGGGTCATTTTCAGGCTGGCTAAGCCCCCCAGTGGGGACCCTCACCCCATGAGGGTGTGGCCAGCCTGGGTGAGGGGCTGATGGCTGTTTGCAGGCTGGCCACAGCCCCATCAGTGTGGGGGTCCCCACTGGGGTGCCTGCCATCCTGGGTGAGGGGCTGAGGGCCATTTGCAGGCTGGCCACAGCCCCATCAGGGTGGGGGGTCCTGCTGGGGTGCCTGGCCAGTCTGGGTGAGGGGCTGAGGGTCATTTTCAGGCTGGCTAAGCCCCCCAGTGGGGACCCTCACCCCATGAGGGTGTGGCCAGCCTGGGTGAGGGGCTGATGGCTGTTTGCAGGCTGGCCACAGCCCCATCAGTGTGGGGGTCCCCACTGGGGTGCCTGCCATCCTGGGTGAGGGGCTGAGGGCCATTTGCAGGCTGGCCACAGCCCCATCAGGGTGGGGGGTCCTGCTGGGGTGCCTGGCCAGTCTGGGTGAGGGGCTGAGGGTCATTTTCAGGCTGGCTAAGCCCCCCAGTGGGGACCCTCACCCCATGAGGGTGTGGCCAGCCTGGGTGAGGGGCTGATGGCTGTTTGCAGGCTGGCCACAGCCCCATCAGTGTGGGGGTCCCCACTGGGGTGCCTGCCATCCTGGGTGAGGGGCTGAGGGCCATTTGCAGGCTGGCCACAGCCCCATCAGGGTGGGGGGTCCTGCTGGGGTGCCTGGCCAGTCTGGGTGAGGGGCTGAGGGTCATTTTCAGGCTGGCTAAGCCCCCCAGTGGGGACCCTCACCCCATGAGGGTGTGGCCAGCCTGGGTGAGGGGCTGATGGCTGTTTGCAGGCTGGCCACAGCCCCATCAGTGTGGGGGTCCCCACTGGGGTGCCTGCCATCCTGGGTGAGGGGCTGAGGGCCATTTGCAGGCTTGGCTTAATTTGCATATAGTCACTCTGATTGGCTAGTGGGCATGGCTTAGGGCATAGCAAAGGCACGGTCAATTAGCACCATTGTCTTTAATTAGTGTAGATATGTATCAAATGTTAGCACTGTTACTTGTTAGTAGTGGAAATATAGAAATTTTTTTGGTGTGTGAACAACCTCTACTCTAACTTTCCTATAAGGAATATTGACTAATCATGTGATAGGAAGTAAAAAGTGCTTTGTGAGTTGTGAACTGTAACACTAGCTGTGCACCTGCAGGCCGCCGGGCGGGCCAGTTCCTGTCTCTTGGGAGGCCACTCTCCCCCTGGCCTCCAGAGACCTCTGTGCTCAGATGCAGCCAAAAGGAATTCTTGTTTTCATTGGCTAACACCGGGCAGAGGTCTACGTATCGACTGCTCACCTGGCTCAGGCCTGGTCTACCAAATGGTGTGTGCTCTGTGCCGCGGAGTCTGCTGACTCCCGGCGACCCCAGGGTGAGTGATGCCCTGAGTGTCCTGTGTCAGCGCCCTGCTCAGCACCTGCAGGCTCAGCCCACGGCTCCTTATGGAGCCAATCCTTCCCTTACTGGGCCTCCTCTTCCTGCTGCCTTCTGCTTCCCGGCATTACTGCTTTTCCAAGGAAGCCCGCCTCTCACGATGTGTCGGTTTAGTTGTTCTGCCTGCAGTGATGTTTCAGGCTTCACTTGCTCCTCAATGGACCTGCTCCTAATATTCGCCCCGACAACCGCAGGCACCCCCTCCACTGCTCCTGTTCCTTTGCTGGCTGAGGTCTGCATGTCAGCAGACTGGCCTCCCACCAGCTCTCAGGTGCCAGGACAGAGACGTGGCTGGAAGCACCAGGACCCTGGGCCTGAGGCCTGAGCTGGTCAGAGACGGGCAGAGCCTCCAGCTTCCCGAGGCTCAGGGCAGGGAGGTGTGTTCTGAGATGGCAGAGAGGTGCAGAGGAGATTGGAAAGCAGAACAGGAACAGAACAATTTCACTTTTACAAAGTGCTGTTATCAAGAGGCAGGGCTCAGGCATGGCACTTGTGCATCGCTGTGAGAAGGTCAAAGCGCAGAAACATACAGAAAGGATAAGAGAATTGAACACTTTAAAGAACTTGGTGAGAGGACAGATGGCACAGACATTCGGTGGGAGTGACAGCTGGAAACGAGACTGTGACAGCATTGGGGACCTCAGCGAAGGAGACAGACCAGGTTTCTTATCCTTTCTTTTGGTATGTGCGGTGGGCGCTCCCCGGCATCGGTTGGCAGCAGGCAGACTTTAGTGCCAGTTTCACCCTGCAAACACGCCTGCTGCCTCGGAATCAGAGCACCGTTAGGGCGAGGTCGCCACGGCCCCGGGCAGGCAGGGGCTGCCCTTACCACAGAGCACTCATCTGACACTTTGCTCAAAAAAGCAAATCGTGTCGACTGCCAGAGAAGCGGAGCAGACCAGTGCCACCTGCAGACAGCTCTTGTCGCTCACGTGAGCAAGGAGACATACGATGCTGTGGCAGCAGGTGCATGCTGAGCACTCTGGCCTAACTCACACCCGCAGCAAGCAGGTGCTGGGATGCCACGGGCCAAAAGCTTTCCCTGGCGCCCCCTGACCCGAGCTGCGTCTCCCTGTGTCGGTGCAGTCCTGCTCTAGGTTGCTAGCTCGTTACATTCCCTTGGCTGAAAGGAGAGCGCTGTCTCCATTTGAGAGCGCCAGTAGTTTGACTTCGTAGACGCTAGTGAATTTTCCAAAGTCAAACCAGAGCATGACGCTGGAGCGAGAGGCCTGTGCCGGGGAGCGGGGGCGGCAGCGGGCGCGGCAGGCACGCACTCACCTGCGCATGCACTCCAGGGCCTGGGTGAAGACCTGCGGGGCCATGCCGTGCTCGTGCTGCAGGATCAGGCACTGCTCCAGCGTCACCGACATGGCCGTGCGGTCCTTGGCGCTCTTGCAGCTGGTGAACCGGACCCCATTAAGACGGCGGCAGATCTGCCCACAGGAAAACAAGCCACGCTTAGAGGGCGACTCTGCAGAACGAGAGGCCCCACATGGGACAGAGGCTCCAAGGCCCCAGAGAGGATGTGGCCACAGCTCCACCCCAGGCCCAGCCACTCCCTCTGCACCTGCTCCCCGTGATGGAGAAAGGCACTGCCATGGCACCTCCGCCCTCCGGCTGCCCTGGGGCACCTGCTCCCACAGGAGGCGCCTTCCCAGCCAGGCCCTCTCCCTTTCGGAGGTGACCCTCTGTTCGTGCCCTTCCGGCTAGTCTCTTCCAACTCCGACACCACCATCCCTCACCCTTGGGTACGGGCCCTCAGAGGACGGGGGAGGAGCAGCAAGGACCGGCTCCAGGAGGTCAGAGCAGCCAGAGGATGTCCAGCCCATCAGGGCCTTAGGCCTCTCTGGCTTCCTCTCCTCTCCTCTCCTCTCCCACACAGATGGGGGCCTGTTCAGAACACTGCCCGAGAGCCACCTACTGACCACAGGCCCCAGGCCTTTCCCATCCTCCCCTCGCTCGGGGCCTGATGCAGGACGAGGCGTATGTGCCTCCTCACGCGTGAGGGGTTCCCAGATGGGCCCCTCTGGGCTAGGAAAGGAACACTCAGGGCGTCCCTCGCCCCCCGGAAGGATGTATTGGGTCACTTCCTCTGCATCACTAGGTACCATCCTCGGGACACAGTCCCCAAATCCAGAAAGCCTTAAAACAGAAGGGTAAGTTTATGGCAACCTCATTTGGCAGCACACTCATATCTGAGCTCGTGTAAGCCCACTGACCATCTCTATTTAGGCCACTTTGTATAAATAGTCATACTTTTTAGTGAAGCAACATTAATCACGTACGTGCACCATGTGACACGTATATGCACCAACTGTATACCATGTCACTTCTAAGATAAGGACACCTGGGAATTCCAGACCACCTGGCCACAGACTCCAGGCAAGGGTCCGTGACCGGGACCAGATACCGCATGTGAGAACAGCAGTGGCATTGGAAGCGAAATCCCCCATGCTGGACGATGCTGGGCTTGTGACCCGCTGACTCCAGAAAGATCCCAGACCCCCTGCAGGGCTGCACTGAGGGTGGCCCCAGACGGCTTCCCAGGCCAGTAGAGCCCGAGCCACGGCCGCCCCTGGGAGGCACCAGCAGAGAGCACAGTGTGGTCTGATTACTGTGTCCAAGAAAAGACGCCTGAGGCTCTGGCTGGTCCTGCCACCCGGAAGTGAGGGATTGGACCCGGCTGATGATATCCCAGACAGCTGGCCAGGGACCCCCTGCTTACACACAAATGAAAATAAATAAGATCCAAGCCCTGGCCAGGTAGCTCAGCGGGTTAGAGCATTGTTCTGATTGCGGGTTTGATCCCTAGTCAGGGCATATACAATAATCAATCAATGAATGCATAAATAAGTGGAACAGTAAATCAATGTTTCTCTCTCTCAAAAATCAATCAATAAAATATTTAAAAATAAAAAGAGAAAGCTTTAAAAAAAAAAACGAAAAAAAAAACAAGACTCAGAAAAGGAGGCAGCTCTTGTCCCAGTGAGGAGGGAGGGCCCAGGACCCGAGAGGCTTGACACTGCTGCCCCCACCCGTCTGTCCCCCATGGGATGCCAGGTGGACAACGAGAACTGACGCCCGAGGGTCCCGAGGGTCCTCCCACCTAGGAGCCAGCAGCATGTGCCAGGGCCTCTGGTGGGAACAGAAGATATGGGCTGGGTGGCCTGCGATTTGGACCTGGCGCAGGGATGGTCGAGCACTGCTCTGGGCGGTAGTTTTTCTATTCCGTAGCAAGAGAAAAAGAGCCACAGTTCCCACACAAGGTGGGGCAGCTCTCTGCACCCACCCTGTCTGCAAAGCTGTGGGGCACCCCCAACTGCTCATGGGGCTCTCCACCAGGGCAGTGGCCCAGCTCTCAGTGGCCCTGGGCTCAGCCAGGGAGGGAGCTGCGGTGCCTCTGGGGCCACCTGTGAGTCCCAGTGACCACCGGGCCCCAGTGCTGCGCGGGGAGTGTGGCGGGATGAACGGCTGGACTGCAAGCACCAGGCGCACAGGACACCCCGAGGGCATGTCTGAAGGGCTCAGTGCTTGGGAAAGAGAAGATCTGAGCTACACTGTGTGACAAACAGTGTGTGAAGACCGGGAAGGTCACCACGGTCTCCTCTGGGCCTATTGGGGGACACAGAGGCAGCGGGTTCAGCTGGTATTGGCTGTGCAGGCTTCTGAGGGTGAGGACTCGCATCAGCCTGGCCATCACCTGCCCGGGGACAGTTTCTGGGTCAAGCTTATCAGAATCCAGGCAGCCGGAAAAGAATGACCTCTCAGACAACTCCCAGAATCTGCGAGTTTGGGGACACCGCAGTGTCTTTCTCCCGTGTCCTAGGGGAACCCCACACGCTCCGCTCCTGCCCGCTGGGTGTGCTGTCCCTGTGGCGGTTACCACGGCAGCAGGAGCAGCGCGACGCCCTCCTCTCTGTGGGGCGCACCTCAGCAGCTTGCCAGAGGATGTCCACGTTCTTGTTCTTCCTGGCATGGACGTTCTGGCCCAGGAACCGCAGCAGCTCCGGCAGGCACGTCTGGCTCCGAGAGCGAGGCAAGCCTAGAAGGAGGAGGCGTTGGGAGCTGGTGCCACACCTGAGCACAGCCCAGGGAGCCGTGAGGCTCAGAAATGGCAAAATGAAGTTTCTGGCTGAAGCTGGAAGTTGAGTGTGACTTAAGCAAGAACACAGGGTGTATGGGGGCCTGGACCCGGCTACATGTGGGGAGAACGCAACGCCTTTCACTGCCATTCAGTTCACCTGCAAGGCACTCGCTCACTTCAGCCCCTTTCAGCTCCCCCCAGGGCCCAAAGCAGACACAGAGCCACCAGGGCAGGAAGGGAGGGAGGGCAGAGGCGACCCACCCAGTCTGCACACCCTCCCCCAGGGAGGGAGGACACTGGGCAGTGGCCTCAACCGCTGAGTGGGCTTGGCTATCACTGGGGATGTGGGGCGGGCGCCTCCAGCAGGTGGACCTGGAGTGGCCCAGGCAGGGTCACCCCCTCCAGCAGCTCCCTCTGCCACCATGACATCTCCAGGTGCTTCCAGGACCCCTCAGACCAAAGATCAGTCAGACTGCCACCTCCCCTGATAAACTTGGGATGTTCAGACATGGGGATCATCAGAGAAAAAGAGGACTCTCCAGGCCATGGCTAAGGAGAACAGCATGGTGCCTAAATCCCCAAATCAAAACCAAATACGTGCAATTCTGGGGCCTAGCAGCACATACAGTGTCCAGCACAAGACCTCAACCTGGTGGACATAGGACCCTATGCTCATTATCCCACACTCCTGATCTGTGCTCAGCGCACAGCACCGGCCGGTCAGAGGCCCCACCCTGGGAGGCTCATGCCCACGCGGTTTTGCTCCTGTAGCCGCGCCCCTCCTTGGCCTCATCACCGGGCCACCTTAACATCTCCTGGGGCCTTGCATCACTGGAAACTGGCCGCCCCCGAAATGTCAAGCACAGAACTCCCCCTTCCTGCCCACAGTGCTTGCAAGTGACTAAGATGGGTGGCAGAGCCCTGTGTGAGGCGGGTGGGGGTGGGGAGAGGTCAGAAAGGGACACCTGAGGCCTGCGGCAGTCCTCTGGGTGGGGGCGGGCAGCCTGAGCAGTGGAAGGGCTGCCGCAGGGGCAGGGAGCAAGGCGGGCAGCACAGGAAGGCCAGGAAGCACACCCAAGGTGACACAAGACAATCGGTGGGACCGACCACACGTGAGGAAATACTTACAATCCTCAGGCAACACTTCCTTAAACTGCTCGAAGTAGGAATTTAGCCGCACCAAACTCTCCATGTTGATAACTTCTTGTAACGACGTGTCGCCAAACCTTCGGGGTCACAGGGAGGCTGTTAGCGGCTGATGCCGCCCTCCTCCCGCAGCGCCCGATGGCGCTCAAGCTAACGCCACGCAAACATTTACTGAGCCACCCCATTCTGAGCACCTCGGCTCCCAGGCTAAGGCTGTCCCCGCTGCCTTGGTGACAAGTCTAAACACATTTCATCAGCAGGAGCCATGCACCACTGGTTACAGGCATGTCCAGGAGGCTATGAGAACTCCAGGTGCACAGCCCTCCCCCCGGCGGCACACCCGAAACCCCACAGTGCTGGCCCGGCTGGAGTCCCGTCCTCCCATCCCTCACGGACTCAGGAGAGGGGACAGCAGGAGGGCGATGGCTGGGGAGTGAGGACGGGTCCCGCACTTGGTGTGAAGGTGCGCTCTGTCTCCGAATGACCTCGCTCGATTGGACTGTGTGGAGACTAGCTCTCCTCACCATGCGGCTCACCCTGCCCACTTTGCAGGCAGCCAAGACGTGCCAGAGGCTCAAGGGTGAGGCAGAGGAGACCACCACAGGAAGGTGCAAAGCGGTCACAGAGACACGCAGGCTGCGACTCCAAGGCCCGGAGGCCAGGCCCGCTCCACCTTTCCCTGCAGAGGGGTCTCCTGCACAGTAGCCTCTTCATGGTCCAGATTCTTGCTCAGAGGCAGGACCCTCCTGTGGGTCCACCACAGCCGGTCTACCTGAGGACCACGCTGGCTTTCCCTCTGTGCAGCAGCTGGGCTTGTCTATGAGCTGAGGGGAGAGTGTCCCAGGAGCAAAGCAAAAACCCTGGACTCACCCCACCATCACGTCCTCCTCCACCAGCCCCCGCTCACTGCGATGTGGCCCTGCTTTCGCGGAGGCATCGGGAACGGAGCTGCCCCACACAGGAGACGCAGTTCTCCTCCCCGACTGGCCACCTCCCGGCTGCCATGATGCTCCCTCTCTCCCTGCAGTGGCTCCTCCACCTG